TGAAAAAAATGCAAATGGTCAACTACGTGTGTAGAAATCTCGAAGGAAATTTTGAGAAATTCTTGTTGTTTTTCGTATACTTCTACCTCAAACCATATAAATTAACACTGTGTAGAAGTCTATTCACTTCGATTGATGATAACACTCCTCAAAAAATCATAAAATCAGATTTCTAGATTGGGAAAATATGCACATGGTCAACCACATATGTCGGTGATAATATGAGAATTCTGATATGGAATTTTGGAGAATTATCATTGGTTTTTCTACACTTCTATCCCGAATTCGTATGCAAACTCCTATAGTTAGCGAGGAAACTCCTGAGCTCAACTGAGGAAACCAACATATATTCCCGTCCTGGTCACCAGTATTTCAATATCTTTCCAGTTGGCTTTTCCCATGCCATTCAAATGCGTATGAATTGTCTCGTTCGGTGCGATTGCTATGAGCTTCGTAACTGTCACTATGTTGAGTTAACGCCGCAACTACTGCCTAATTTACCATCAACAATTCCTGATTCGCGATTGACGATATTATTAGACTCTAACGCGTTATAAAACGCGATGAGCTTGTCACCAGGCAGATCCGAACGAAGTCTTTCGATGAGCTGAAATGAAGAACGTCGTGAAGTTATGGAAAACTTCCAAGTCCAACTTCGTCAGGGTAAAGCATGTCTGGTTTTGTGCGACAAAGCAGTTTGAGGTAGTCTTCAATTCCCTCCAATTCGCGAGCCTTTTCAGGAACGGAATCGAGCACCTGCATTTATCACATTATATAATGGAGTTTCACCCGTGATATGAAAAACATATTTCACATTCCACTTCGGAAAAAAACGCATGTGAACAGCGATTAACGCGTAAAACACGTTATGTGGGGTGACTTGTCTGATGTAATTCCCCGAGTATTTCCAATTCACATCGTGAATATCGCGTTTTTAACAAAGATTATAACGCTACTTCACGTAAAACAGGTCAAACTACAATATGATGGAGTTTCACCCGTTTTACGTGAAGTGGCGTAAAACTTGGTGAAAAACGCGGTGATATTCGCGGTGATATGCAGTAGTCGTGAAATATGTTTTTCAATAGTGTTTTTCATAAAACTCAAATTATATGTGGTATATATATGCGAATAAGAATAACTCCATGTGCTTCCTCAAATGGAAAATGAATTTCATCCTTCTTCCGAATGTGTCAACGGCTCATCAAAATTGAGCCACAACGTTTAGCTTACATCTTTGGTGGTGACGTGTTTACGTCCGGCTGATTTGGACATGTCATCGAGCTTTGATCGGAGCAACACGAGGGCACATGGACCGTCTCGTTCAGAGAGATACTCCCTAAGTTTTCCCTTCAGTTCAACCAGGGATGGTACGGCAATATTATCTGCAAAATCTGCTGCTGCTTTGAACTGGAGTGACAAACTCCATATTGTGATATGTTCGGTAAAGTAATTTCGAATTCACTACAGAATTTTGACTAAACTCGATGGAGATAAGCAATTCCTCCCAACAGAATATCAATTTTCACTTTTTCTCATAACACGAAATCCAAACCAGACCAATTTTATCAGTGTGGAAAAATATGCACATGGTCAACTACATGTGTTGGTGACAATATGGAAATTCTGAGAAACTCAGGGGAATTATCATTGTTATTTTTCTACCCGAATTTTTATATAAACTCCCATAATTAGTGAGGAAACTCCTGAGCTCAGTTGAGGAAACCAAACGTATATTCCTAATTCTCGACTAATATAATGCATATTTCACAAGGGATATATAGTGTATGATGACCAACAAGGAGTGGACTCGTATTAGACTCCGGAAACAGAATATTCATATCGATCCGTGCGTGCTTCTGAATGTAGTTGCTTATGGAGGAGACAACAATTGTGTGAATATATCGCAGGTCCCAACTGACCTCGATCGAGCATTTTAGCCTGGATAAGGGAACTCACAGTCTCCGGCATGCCAAGGGTCTTTCCTGGTCGGTTGCAAACCTAAAGTGCATCGGTCGCTTACGACTAACTGGGTGAGTGTGGAATAAATGTGTGTTGAAAAAATGAGGATATTGAGAGACTTCTACCATAATGCGTGGGTATAACTAGTGAGGAAATTATTGAGTTCAGCTGAGGAGAGCAAACATATATTCTGGATACTGGACTTACTTCGTCACGCCAGAGTTGGCCCTTCCGGAGCTCTTCGTGATTCGGTCGCGTGAATCTTGAGAAATTTATATTTGAGATTTCTCATAAATTCATCCCCTTACTTGTTTGTTCTTCCGAAGGCACGTTTCGAATCAACTCTATTTCCTAAAAAGTTACAATCGAGTACTCGTTCAAGAATACGCTTCTTACGTGTAGTGTCTTGATGCGGCTGCGGTGGTTGCGTATGCCTAAATGATTCGTTTCACTACGGAAACTTCTTCGCCTTGTGTTTTTCTCACTGGCTTATCAGTTCAGAAGCGGAGTAATGCACATCGGCACTTCTATCGAGCGCCAACGACGCTGGAGAGACCGTGGGCGCGCCCTGATGGTTCTCCGATCCAACACTGAGAAGATGGATGTTGAATTCGCACACGATGTGCGAAACGACTGAGCGCTTTGTCGTGTATTTTCTACACTATCCTGGAGGCGTCGATGCGTTTGTCATTCGAAATGACTATAATAATATTTCGTGATATATATTTACCACTACTTTAGTTTTTCATACGTGGTTTAGATATGAGATGCCCATTGAGTTCCCCTCACTTCTCGGGTTGATCGTCGATGTAATTCGCCGCATTTTCGGTGTCGAAATAGCGCATCTCTGTTTGGCCCGATTCGCGCCAATCAGCAGAATTAACCTTAAAGGAAATACTCCCCTCGTGTTCATGCTAAGACGACGATTTCATCGATTTCTACGCGCGCAGTTTACTCGTTGCTTACTTGTTCCTCCGCGATTAATCTCATCTTAGCCAGGTCCGCTTCACAACGCGCTCGGACGCCGAGACATTCAGCGTCACTCGCCATTAAATTCCTACCTGTAAAGTATAATCTCCGCACGGTGTAGTTGACCAGGACAAACTTTTGAGAAAAATACATAATATTCCACGCGTAGGGTGGCGTTCTTCTCTTCGTATTATGAAGTGATTCGCTACGACGATTTATTCTCGCGAATGGTCAAGTTCAGATGGAGTGAATGATGAAGGGATGTCCCCATTGTAACGAGCATATTATTTTGTTGCTTATTCGCACAGCAACAGTGCGAAACTCGGGAACAGTATTAGAATACATATTCGCTTTCCTCAGCTGAGCTCACCCGCGACTTAGGGTAGAAGTGTACATGGACCAATGAGAATTCCTCATAGAACTTTCATATTTTCACCAACACATGTGACAACTCTTGATAAAACGTCTGGCGAAGTTACCTGTAATAGGGCATTTGTAATTGCCAACATCACCCGCACATGTGTCGAACTTGGCAGAACTCAGTCGCTTGCCGTGTACACGCTCGAACG